TTTTAGGGAAATGCTCTTTTACGTGCTGAGACGCACAGGGGAAACGGCCGTTGCAGCACGACAGGGGGTAGTGCAGCCTGAGTGCGCAACCCACTTGAGACAGGAATGACCACCGCTGAAGCGCCGTCCACCAACACAAAAAGCTCCCGAGAGCGCGTTAAACTCGTCACACACGAAGCAGTTTGGTAGGAGCAGAACGATGTTGTCGCTTGGCTCCTCGGAGTGACCGACTGAAAGGGAACAGTATTTTATATATATGATGAACTGCACAAAAAAGTACCATGCTAATTTGGAAACAACATTAATCATAATACTATGGTATTTAAAGTGCACTGGTGTACACTACCGTTCAAAGGTTTGGGGTCAGTAAGATATTTTATTTTATTGACTGATTGATTGAGAGAGAAATTATTACTTTTATTCTGTAATGATGAAAAAAATTGCATTAATATTTCACAATATTACAGTTTACAATTTTTATTATATTTTTGATCAAATAAATGGTGAAATACCCATATTTCTAAACAATAGTGTACCTTTAAAGTACCATTATATATTTTTTATACTGCTTTGATAAATGTCATAGTACTAGATCACACAGTCAGAGTACCAAGTTACCACTGGAGTGTATTATTTTCAGGCTGTGATGTCAGCAGTCATAATGTTTTAGCAAAATCAATTTGAAATGCTTCTGTTAATAAAGGCCCATGAAACAAGTCTTGTAAACACACACCCGCTGTGACCCACTGTTTCAGCCATATGCTTCTCTGGGTGCTCTGTGTAAATATGAAGTGACTGCTCTCGAAGTTTCAGCAGCTGTGTTTCTGCTGCCAGTATTTCACTCAGCTTCCCCTATGTTTGCATAGCTGTTCTTTTGCCTCCTCCAAGCCCCGAAACGCATCCTTGCACAAACATGCCCCAAAAGCCGTCTTGTGCCACTTGAGCCATGTAGAGAATGTGTACAATACGATTAGGCAATATGGCACTGAATTATTGAATTAACTGAATAATATATGCCTGTGTTTATCTTTTTGTTACCAAACATTACCAAAAAAATTACCAACAAGTACCAATTACATGGCTCTCTGGTATACCGCAAACTTATTGGCCAATCACTATTCTGAAATATATTGATTGTTATTTGTTTATTATGGAAGTGGTATCTAAAAAGAAAGACCTCAAGTCCGTAAACTGTTTGCTTCTGTGAAGTAGGTTCTTGAGGCCTGTCACATTAAAATCAGGAGGGCCGTTAAACTTCACACCTGCTGTATCTGTAGAAAGACCCCCGTGCTCTGTGTGTGTCCTCGTCTCATTCACACAAACACTGCGTCACAGAAGCATGCTCAGGCCTGCAGCGTGGATGTGTTGCTCTCTGACATTAAGCAGATATTGTTTGTGCTCTTCTCTCTTCTTGGGTCTGTTTCTGGTGGTGGACTCTGGATCCTGTAACTTTCCCATAGAATGGAGGTAAGAATGTAATTTGCATCCTATTAAGTGGTACTTTAATATGCAGTATGACCTTGTGGTCGTCTTTTCTCTATACAGTTTTACCTGGGTAAATCTCACAAAATCTGTTAAGAACTTCAAATCTCAAAGTGTATTGCATGACTCAAGCTGACTGGTCATGAAGAGCGTGCGTTTACACTGAGTGGAGCTGTTTTACTGGAAAGAGCCACTCAAATTGAGTCAGTGCGTCTCTGTTGATTGAAATGATAAATGCAAACATACACATGTGCTGGACAATGCAGTACACTCCTGCCGTCAAAACCGAGCTATTATCCGACTGTTCAGATTCATCATCTGGATGCAATTAAAGCGAAGTTACACAGAATGAAGTAATTGTGAGAACTGCACTTTATTCCTGTCAGTTGTGCAGTGTGTACATGAGTCAGCACGCAGTCATGAGACAGTCATGTATGGAAGCCTTGAAGGGACATCTTTATATAACTGAACCATTCTGTTTAGTAGAAGTCAATGATGGAGGGCAAAGTTACTCTTTGACAAATTACACACAACATCTCATAAACACAGTTTGTTATTATTTCTGAGGAGAGGAGAGCTTTTACGTTTCAAAACCATCAGACTTAAGAGTTTTATCTGACACAATTAAATGAGTAAAAAATGTAAATTGAAGGAGGGAGCCAAGTCATATATTGGAGCCAACGTATTTAAATGTGCTCTTTTTACTTTAGCAAGCTTTAAGATGGTAATAATATATTTCAAAAGAATATACTTAAGTGTGAACTAAATGTAAAGTTTTCGGACACCTAATTCCATGTTTTTTATGGAATACTTAGTATTTAAATATATTTGTAATTGCACATTTGTAAGGATTAAGTTGCAATTAAATACATTTAAATATATTAACTTTAAATATAATATTATAATTATAATTAAAATTATAATAACTGTACATGTGATTTACTTTGTATATAAATAAGTGCACTTCTTTAAAGCATGACAAAAGATTAATGTGTGTTTGAGTGTGTTTGTGTTCATCAATTAAAGCAGCACATTGATATGGAACGGTGATTAAACTGACTTGGAACTACCTGTGCATTAAACGGTTTTAATGCATACCTGCCAGCCAATCAAAATCCAGTATTCAGACAGACCATGGAATAAATAAATAAATAAATAAATAAATAAATAATATTTATTAACTCTGATAATATTGTTTATTAAATCTAAAACTAAAACCATTAAACATCATTACTTGAAATAAAATAAGCATGAATGTTTTCGTTCAGTTTAAGTTGAAGCACTAAAACAACTAAAGCAAAATAAAAAAAAATAAAAAATCTAAATAAATAAAAAAGCATACTAAAGTTTATAAAAACTATAAAACACATAAAAAGTAATAAAAAAAGGTCAAAAACACATATTTATGTAGTTTCCTACAGAAACTATGTGTAACACAATGAAAACACTTAGCAAAACACTATGTTATTCAAACATGGAGGATACACTACTGTAGGAGACATTGCTGGAAACTGGAACACACTAAACATAAACATAAACAATACCTGGCAGTGAAACAAAGGAAACACAGGGCTTAAATACATGAGTGTCTATGCTAGTATATAAATTATACTAAAATAACACTGAATTACACTACAAGTACACATTCATTACAATTAAGCGCACTTCCTTTTAAAATAGTTATTATTTGGACCATTAAACGGCACCCAGAACATGCGTAAAAAAGCCATTCAGAATGCCTTTGCAACCATATAGCAACCTGATAAAAACCACACAGAACACGCAGAAACCACACAGTATGTGTTTAATGTTGCATTGTGATGTCTTATCTGATTTAGACTGTACAAAGGCAGCGCAGGCTACTGCAGCACATACAGAGGCGACGTGTGTCGGAACGAGCTCCGTAGGGACGTGCTGGTGTTTTTTAACTATTCTCTTCCAAACCCGGAGGACGCTCAGGAGTACCTGGCCCAGAGCGCATGGGGGGAGCTGGACGGGGTGAGCTCATTCTGCAGGCCCGCTGCCAGATCACTGCTCTGTCACGCCACCTTCCAGGACTGCAACCCGTCTGGACTCGGACCAGCACCCAAACCTGTCTGCAGGTAATGCAAATGAGCTGATACCATGCAGAATATACCTATACCAGAAAATATACAGTAAACCAGAAGAAGCCAAAGAAACATATAGGCTATGAGTCATTCTTTGTTGCCTGGATCAGATTTCCTAACATTGCATCAGAAAAAAGCATATCTTTACTGAAAAGGAAACAGCACTGGTGAGCTGTGAAACATGAACCTGTTCACAGAATGACAACCGGATAAATTAGTTATAGATTCTGTGTTTTGACAAATGGCTGACCTTTAGCTTTTATTCTGTACTTACATGTCACCTATAATAACATTTGGAATATAACAGATTTTTTATTAAAAACTAAAAAAAAACAAACAAACATGAAATTTCAGCTTTGCCATCTACCAGTTGTTATCTAGCAGTTTCTGGAATAAAAAAAAATTATAAATAAATAAATAAATAAATAAATAAAAATAAATATATATATGAAGAGTTTGGTTCCAAAACGCTATAAATCCATTTGGATTAATTTGAGTAAAAATGTGTTTTCTTTACGAAGAAAGTGGCAAGATGAAAACCACTATTTTCTGTTTCAAACTTTCACATTGCATGCATCATCTTGTTAATGCTATAAATTAATTACAACAATAAAAGAAAATTTCATCATGAACATACATGAACAACAATATCACATTAAACCACAGAAATTCTAAAATGACATTTCCCTTACATTCAACTTCCAAAAGTGCATTCATCTTTTCCATGTTACATTCATTTAGTTGACAAGTGCTATACGCTGTATTAACAAAACATTAATGGCATAAATAAAAACACTTACACTGACATGCTACGCAATATCGCGTTCATAATCGAATGTGATTCATCTGCGATTATGAATGCGATATAGCAGTGATCTACGGCTCTGTGTATTAAATGCCGCTCCATCTGAAAGCACGTGATGGAGATTTACTATTAATCACAGAACCGGCTTTACTGACGAGATGC